CTTGTCGATGTAAACTAATCCAATATTACCTAGACACCAAGCAATGTTAGTATGTTTCGAAGACAGAACACGCTGGAACATTTCGAGTGTACGAAAGAGATGATTAAGTGCAACATCGAGATCGCCTTTCTCTTTGTATGTTAAGTCATAATTTGATGGTGGTAATTGCTCTCGACGAATCATATAGGCAATTTCATAATTCTTTAATGTCAAATATTGTTCGTCTCTTTTTTCATGCACATTTCCAAGTCCGTTATAGACGAAAGAAATGTTCGGATGGTCTGGTGAAGAAGATTTAAGTAATATGTTGTAAAATTTTGCAGCTTGATCAACTTGAGCTAACTCTTTGAGGAGAAGACGACCAAAATAGATAATTGGTGAATAGTCAATCATTTATTTCTCAACAATTGCTAGATATTCCTGAGCGATTTGTGTACCTTCATTTATTGTTTTTAGTTGCACTTTCCACAAGTGATGATCCGAATCAAAATCGATAGAAGCAATTTTGAAAAGAGAATTGAGCTGAAAAAGAACTTCTTTTTCATGTTTCATTAGGCTTTTAATGCTAATATCGGCACAGGCGACCGTTTTGAGGGATAGATCAACTTCAATTTCAAAAAGAACTGATCGATGATCATTTGAAGTGTTACCTTGAAGTGGAGAAAAATCCATTGGTTGATATGATTGTACCGATATTATTTTTTCAATTTTTCGAATTCTTCAATTGGAATTTTTTGTCCTCGATACAATTTTAAAATATTGCCGCTCGTTAGTTTCATATTTTCGATTTCAAAACATAAACCAATAATAAAGAATCGAAATGAATAAAGCAATTCGATATCTTCTGTTCGAAGAGCTTGATTTAGGAATTTATACAAAAAACAATGATCTGTATATTGTCAATCGAGGATCTTCTTCGATAAGCTGCTTTAATCCATCCATATTCACCTGCAGTGATCTTCCGGTATGAGGTAAATCATCGAGTTCGAAGTTGCCGTTCTTGAACCGATGGAACCAATGTTGCGCTGACGAATGGACACTGCATCTTTGCCCATCGTGTTGCATATGTTGCTCGTTGCTTCCGTCGCTTTACGACCCAAACGGAATTCGTGAAGCAGAAGTACTCTTAGCTCTCGTCGAGATATATTGATTTCTCCTTTGAGATCGACGTCCATATTCTTGATTTTGTTATCATTCGAAAGACTCTCGTACTCCCTTTATATACCCTTAGTATGGAACTTTCTAGAACTTTCTCGACTGTTCTAGGAAATTCTGAAAAAAAACGCAAAAAATTTCTTACCAACCTAATATATCCAATGCTTTATTTCGATATTTTAATGCCTCATCAAATGTACCTAGATAGGAGTATACAGTACTATTATGTTCTAAACAGTCGGCTGTAGCTTTTGGTTCAGATGGCGTGCAACGCTCAAATATCGTTAGTGCTTCATGATAGAATACAAGTGCTTGAGCACTATCCGTTTCACTGTATATATTACCAATGGTTTCTCGTGTATGTCCGATTGGAGGATGATTTTGTGGTAGATTCACTCGCTGTTCAGCTAACTTCTTGATGCAAACATCCATAGCTTCCTCATATTGACCATTTTTTTTTTTATAAATACCAACAATCCGGTTGAGATCTTTTGTGAGATAAATATGTTCACTAGATAACACTTTTGCATTCATTTCGTATGTCTGGCGGTAGAACTCAAGTGCACGATTGAAATTAAGTTGATCTTCGTATACGCAACCAATATTACATAAGCATCGAGCAATTGAATGATGTTGTTCGGGCAGCACACGTTTATACATTTCAAGGGCTTTTGCAAAATAATCTAATGCATTATCATACTCTTTCTTTCCTAAAAATACTCTGCCAGTATTCATTATTGTCTTTGCTTTATTCAAATGATCACCCGAATAATTTTTTTCATGAATAGCGAGTGTTTGTTTAAAGTAAACTAAAGCTCGATCATAATCCTGTTTGTCTTCATAAAGTAGACCAATACAGTTCAGTGATTGGGCAATCTGAGGATGATCGGAAGATACCCAGGTGAATAAATCCAATAACGGATCCGGTCATCCGACAAAATCCCATAGGGATCCGGGTGACGAAACTACTCAGGGATCCGTTGAATCAGATTTTTCGTTGGATTTCTCTTGGTTTCCGATGGAATCTGATTATATCCGACTGGAGGGATCCGTTTAGGATCTGGTCGGATTCGTTGTAGGATTCATCGACCTGGGTAAACGTTGACAACGTAAACCATACGCTTGTGCATAAAAGTCTAATGCCACATTCAATTCACCTTTCTCGAAAAATATATTTCCCATTTGATGATAAACAGACGGTATATCTTCATGATCATATGGTAGCGATTTCAATAAGATTTTAAAATATTTCTCTGCTTTGTCAAATTCGCCCATGTTTCTCCAGAGAAGATCGCCGAATAGAATAGTTGGACTATAGTCTGTTTCCATTTGTTTTTTTATAAACTTTAAATATTCACTTTTTTCTTTTGATCCTTCATCAATTGCTGTCAGGTAAACTTTCCATACATTTATACATAAATCATATTTAATTTCTGTAATAATGAATACGGCTCCTAAACTAAACAAAACTTCTCTCTCTCCTTGCATTCGACTGTATGTATCAATGTCAGCAAAAATAACGGATTCAAGTCGAGAATCAGCAGTAATTTCAAATAGGACAGGTCTTTCTTCAGCCATATTGCAACGACCGGCAATGAAGCTTATTGCCACACTGACGTATCTTGAAGTTGAAAAGAATCCATTTGGCGATATTAAACTACCAATACTTCTTTGCAACTTGTCAAATTCTTCTTTTGACATTATTTGTCCACGATATAATGTTAGTATCTGTGTGGAAAGAAGTTTTTTATGTTCTTGATCTAATTGTGAACATAAATCGACAATATAGAATCTGAATAAATAAAGAAGTTCAATATCTTCTGTTCTCAATGCTTTATTGATTAACCGATAGACAAATGAATCGGTTGTGTACCATTCAGCAGCCTTGTCCATCGTATATGTCATTCGGAATTCTTCAATTTTTCTCAATTCAGCAGTGTTTGATTGATAATAATCTGAACATTTTTCAAAAATATCATGAAGAGCTTGATCAGTTCGTGGAATTTGTCTTAAAATATTCATTAATAGTTGAAACCACAGAAAAGCGGCGGACTCTTTTGAAATGTTTCTAATAGATTTTTGATTTTTACTATCGAACAAACTGAATTCCATTGTCTGTTCTGTTATAAGACCAATTCTAGATCTAATTGATTTCAACAATGCTTGTTTGTCAGTAAATATTCGAATAGTTTTCTTACATTGTTCTGCTTTAGAAAAGGATGTGTAATGCTCATGATCAGCACAGAACATGAATATTGAATTGACCGTTGAAAGTGAGCAGACTTCAGGTATAATTTGTTTTTCGAATACAACCGATATGACAAGAGGTATTTTCTCATCTTTGATCGACCGGATAAAATCGAGACATAGCTGCGGATCGGTATAAAATTGAACTTAATTGATCGATTGTTTCAGTAATATTTGCATATTTTGTAAATTAGATGAATCATCCATATTTTGATCACACCAAATCAATGTTACATCTTCAAGATTTCGTTCAATATTATATTGACGACAATTTGGTTGGCTGTTATTTGTCACTGTGCGACCTAACTATGAATAATTTAAGACAAAAAACGAAAAAATGACAGTTAAGATTCTTCATCTTCATTTCGATTGTACTTGTTTGATGGTTGCATTAAAAAAAACGAGATGACTATAGTTGAATAATTTTAATAAGGGAGAATGAAAATGTTACACAGTACAGCATCCTAGATGAATGAATCCAATACCCAATCTGACGGAGGTATGCTCAGATTTCCAAAAAAGGAAATTACGTAAATTTCTGTAATTTCCAACAACACGTAAACTCAAGGAAAAGTGTTTTTGAAAAATTTGGGAGGTAACAGAAGTTGCGGAAATTTCAGAAATTACGGAATTTTGGGAACTGGAAGTTATGGAAATTTTGAAAATTATCGGATTTTTCGAAGTAACGAAGCTTTTGGAGGCATCACTTTCAAAGTTTTTGAAACTTTCGTAATTTCCTTTTTTAGAAGTCTGAACACTGCTGAATGAAAAAGGATAATTTTGATGATAATAATATTGGTTGGCCGTAGAAATGTCGAAAGGAAAAATATCGAAAGGAAAAATGTCGAAAATAGAGGCGCCACTTATCGCATCACTCACATGTTTTCTGGCGCCTCTGTTTTCGACATTTTTCCTTTCGACATTTTTCCTTTCGACATTTCTACGGCACACCATAATATTAACTCATTGAAATTTTTCTCCTCAACATTATTTAATATTAATGATCGAAGAGAAGAAATTCAATGAATGAAAACAATGAGAAAAATCTCAAACCTTAATTATATATATATATACTTTTGTTTTTATAATGTTAATAAATAAATTGATGTTTTAACTTCTACATATAACAACATGTGTGCAGAAAATTTTCAAATGTTGTCTTCCGAATGGATGTATCCATCGGATCTCGCCAGTCGATTCGACGATCACGTCCAAATTCATTGAAACTTTCAGAGTTTGTAGAGATTTTTGTGCTGCACATTGTGATAATAAAGTTATTAGAATTTGTCCCTATTTTCATAGAGATACGAGTCAAATACTATTAATGCATTTTTATGGAATTTAAAAAAAGCGCATTTTTATCGAAAAATCGATGATAGTCCTTCATTATCCACATGAATCATAAAACCAATTATAGATTCAGGATCGTCGTGAAAAGCTGCATCAGAATCCTTAGAAAATTAAGAGAGGGTCCGCCAGAAGGCCACCCAACTTTATAGGGAGCCGGCCAGAGGTAAAATTGTTTTTTGAATTTTTTTAGCTCAAATGAAGATCATATCGTGAAACTTCTAAATCCAAAATATTAGATTTTTCTGATACACCTGTAAAAAAAATGGCCAAGTGTCACAATTCTTCAATTTTGAGACTAGATTAGAACAAGCAGCCGTGACCGGTTTCGTCCTTGCTTAAGGGACTCATCAGACGGCTTGTTCAAATTCATCATTATCCTAAGATAACGACGAAACTGCTT